TAATTAATTTGAACTGAATAAATAAATAAATAAATTTGAACATTTGGTGGATTTGTATTTTTAGCCAGCACACAGCTTTGCTACATACTCTCAATAGCCAGGTAGATCTTGCGTTCTCCCTCTTTGGGCTCTTTTCCAGGAGGGAAATATGTCCCCCTGATGGTGATGGCAGCTTCAGAGTATTCACCAATCCTCTGCAAAGCCTCCTTAGATGTCACCTTCCACCTGGCAGTCTGTCAACGTAAAAAAAATAAAAATWAAAATCTTAGGGAAAGGCTTTTAATAAATCTACAACAAACACTTTAACACAAAAAAGAAACTAGTGAGCTGCTGACCTGAGGGAAGTCGTTGATCTCCAGCTCCTCTTCGTATCTCCTGACGGTCTCGGCCTGTTCAGCCGCCTGCCGCTCCTCCTCCAGCTTCTCCACGGGCGTGTAGTTCAGTTTGGCGTTGATCTTCTCTGCCAGCTGCTCTGCGATGGTCTTGGCTGACACGGACGGCGTCACGATGGGCCCGCCGCGCAGTATGGCGTTGGTGGCTTGTTGCATCACGTCCTGCACGAAAACAGAAAGAAATGAGTGTCAGAAGACGGATAAAATATTGTTACTCACGGTTTGCCAACATCAACCTCAGATGTCTGACGTACCTGAGCCTCAGCGCCCAAGTTCTTCTGAGCATTGATCTTGAGAGCCAGCCTTTTGGCCATCTCCAGTTTCTGGATGTTCCCTGCAGACGTCGGCGCCAAGCCCGGAAGCCCTCCAGGTGCAGCTGTTGTAGGAGCAACACCTCCAGCCGCACCAGCAGCTGCTCCAGGAGCAGACAGATCCTTCACCCTCTTCTTAGAATTAAACATGCTTTCAATTTGCTCCTCAATCTGAGGAAAAGGACAACATTTATTGTCATTATTATTATTATTATTATCATTATTATTATTATTTATAATTAGAAAAAAGTAACTCACATCCAGGGCTCCATCCTCATCATCAGAGTCCTGCAATCCAAGTGCAGCTTTCTGCAGCTTCTTCCTCTCGTTGGCCAAAGCATGTTCTGTCTCGTCAAACTTAAAGCCTTTACCTGAGAACCCACTGCTGCTCTTAATGCTCTTACCCTCCTGCACGCACAGAGAAACACAAAATACAGCACAAATAAAACCGACAATTTAGAAAAAACGTACCGGACGTACTTCGTGCAACTGTGAGGGTTCAAAACTGTTTACGTTGCTGAAACTTACCGCTTTTTGCTGGTCCTTGAAGGAGCCCCAAAGCTGCTCCAGTTCTGGAGGGACAGGAGATCCAGACAGCTCCAAAGCCTTGAGGATATCTCCAGCGTAACGGGCCTGATCCTCAGTGATGAAGGTGTAGGCGTAACCCTGAGATAGAAGAAGATTCAACCTCTGTAATATTCCTGCACATACATTAGTAAAACTTAAGGGATCCCAGATTAGTTGTAACATTAGACTTTATTTAATAAACATATACTTTAATTGTAAAATAAAGACAGTAAAAATACTGTAGGCTGTTCAACTAAAATTTAAAAATAAATTATATGGACGGGGCCATTTTATTTCCACACAAAGCATTC